GGCAGGCAGGCAGACAGACAGACAGACAGACAGACAGACAGACAGTATATATATTGATAGCCTACAAGTAGCTTCTTATTTTTGTACCATATATAAAGGAGATGTGTCAGGCTCCCTCTTGGGTTCTGAATGTCCCCATCCTGAAAAGAGAGACACATTCTCCTTTACATTCAAAATGCCCTTGAATTAAGCATCGCTTTCCCAAGTCAGCTGCTGTCTCTCCATCCTGGCGTGAGGTGCCATCTCTCTGGTAACCACCAGTTGGCAGATTTACAACGAAACTTTCTGCACGTCTTGCATGGCCCTGAAGTAAATATACTGGCCACCTCCCAGAGAAGAAGCACCCTCTGCAGATCTCTCAAGAGTCACTGGATCGGTGCCAGGGTCTTAACTCTCTCTCCTCCCTTCCTTACAGCTGGAGCTTGCCAACAAGGATCTACTCCAAGAGATTAAAGAGGTACAGCAAGCGGTTGGCTTTGGTGATCCATCTTTCTGAGCCTCTCCTGGTTCGTGGCCAACCTCCTCTCTTTGAGCCCGAAGATGAAGAAAAACAGCCTAGTATTCCAGAGTAGGAAGACATTCCTGGGTTATGAGACTCTTGACCAATCCGTTGTTTCCACTGGCTTGAAATGCTGTTATCTGTTACATCCCATCTTTCTTATGTAAAGTTTACGGAACATCTGTATGGCAGATCTTATGGGAACAGGGGGGAGTATCTCCAGAAATACAGACCCCTTCTGTCTTAGGACAATCCCATGCTCCTGGGAAGGATTTAGCTGCGATCCTTGGGAGCCCCCGCTAAAACTGGCCTTCAGAAATTGTAAGTACAGTATTAGAACCACATGCCCCATCCTAGAAACTAGAGGCAATCCGATATCAGCATAAATAGCAATTATTCGGTGCGTGTCCACCCTCTTGGGGGGCTGAGTGGGTGGGTGGATGAGTACAGTTTCACAAGCCTTGTTTCCATAAGTGGAGTTTTAATTGTGCACTTTTATTTTAGAAGAAGTACAGTATTAGAACCACATGCCCCATCCTAGAAACTAGAGGCAATCCGATAACAGCATAAATAGCAATTATTTGGTGTGTGTCCACCCTCTTGGGGGGCTGAGTGGGTGGGTGGATGAGTACAGTTTCACAAGCCTTGTTTCCATAAGTGGAGTTTTAATTGTGCACTTTTATTTTAGAAGCTTCGTTAAGCACAAGGCAGGACATTCATGTTAGGTGTATTTGTGTGCGTGTGTTTTCAGATTTCAAAGGCACAGCCTTACGTGTGAAAGCAAGATATGTCAGGAAGCGTGACTAAAATATTTGAGAGAGGGGCCCAGGCATCTGTTTCTCTTTTAGAACGCAGGGCTTTAGGACAGATCCTGGAAAACAGGCTCTTTCACACTACAGAATCCACAGCAGCCTCATTAGCCAAGCCATTCTGGAGTTTGTTAGCAGCCCGTGTGTGTCATTCCTCTCTGTCGGACGGAGGACAGCGCTGTGTATGTCACACGGCCTCTGCTCATTAGGGCTGCCACATCAGCGAGTCCCTCACCCCTGAAATGACAAGGCTCAATTCTGGCATCAGTGGGGTGGGCCCTCATGATGTCACAGAAGCAGGGCAGGTGAAGAAGAGAGAGGGCAGAACTGTTTCCGGGCTAGGTGACTCTGGAGAGGAGTCTTCCCGGCCTTGCTCCGAGTGGTGTGATGGACTCAAGTGCCCGCACTCTGGCATCAATGGATAACTGTGGTGAAATGCAGGTTGTGGACTACATGGCGGATCTCCACGGGCCCAAAGGCAGCCCTAGTGTCCTTGGGGCCCCCAGCACCCCCGTGTTTTTGTTGTTGTTGAGAAGTCCCCTTGTGTCATCTAAGGCAGCAGTTCCCAACCTTGGGTAACCCAGGTACAGTATGACCCCCATATCTGCTGGGGATTGGCTCCAAGGATTCTGAAAACGGGATAATAGCAAATGCTCCTTTTACCATGTTCTATACAGAGAGCATGGCAAAGGGGATAGGGGGAGAAAAATATATTTTCTAATGAATTACCAGAACTGTGCCAATAGTCTTCACTAACATTGTTTCTGGCTCCATCTAGTGGCTGGTTCTTGTAACACATGTGAAAATAGTTTTTTCTGGATTTTTTTTCTTTTAATATTTTTAATATTTTTAATATTTTCATACTAGATAAATGAATCAGTAGACACCAATCCTGTGGATAAGAGGATCCTACTGTATTCTTCAACTGCAACTCCCAGAAGCCCCAGATAGCACAGCTGGCGGTGGAGGTTTCGGGCAACTGTAGTCGAAAAACACCTGGATGACCCAATTCTGGCAACCACTCCTGTGCGAGTGATTTTGTCATGCTTGAACTCGTTGCCAGCACTCTTGTCTGCCCTGAATCCACATTTGCCTTCAATTTGGATGGCGGATGGGCTACTCAATAGCGTAAGTGTAGTTGTGAGTTGAAAGATGGGCATGTGGGGCCCCCCGCACCTCTGGGGGTTACCCACCTGTGCTTCAAAGCTCTCAGAGAGATACAGTCAAACCCGCCTGACACTGATCCCCATGCCGAGAGAGTATAAACACTGCCCTGGGACTTGAGCTGGAGCTGCGAGACCTCGCGACCATTTTACTTGTACATTTTATTTTATTTCACTTTAGCGCAGCCCACTTTTCTGGGTGGTTTCCATCAGAATAAAATACAACCCGACAACAATAGGGTTGTAGAATAAAATGAAGAGAACCATAAAAAAATAATAATAGAGGCTTAGGATCTGTCATCGGAGAAGGTGGGACAGGAGGAATATAAGATCAAAGACAAAAATCAGGCCGGGAGGTCATTGCAGGCATCGCGAAACAAGGAGTTTCCCAGCAGCCTCTCCAAGGTTGGACGGGCAGCTGCAGGCACAGCTGCAGAGTCCGGTGGGGGCTACCACCAAGAAGGCCCCGTTCCTCCTTCCTGCCCATCGGCCCCAGCGGTGGGGGGACCCTTCAGCCACTACTTCCCTAAGCGGAATGGAAGGAGGGGAGAGAGAGTCATGTTTGTCTCTTGCCTCAAGCGGCCCCATGGAGAACAAAAATGGGGGGGGCTCGGCTCCCATCCCCTACATTGGGCTCCCCATAGCTGGCAGAAATGCAAAGAGAAAAGTGACCTGGGAGGAGATCCCATTCCCAGCCGCGAGGTGGCGCTCGAACTCCTCCTCCTCCGCCAGCCCCTGTTCCCCGCTGCCGCCTGCAAAGAGCAGAGTGACGGCGCTGTGGCCCTCCGGCCGCGAGAGGGCGCTGTGGCGACTCGGGGAGGACTCCACTCGGCGCGCTCCGCTCTATGGCGAGGCGGAACCGGAAGCCCCTGCGGCACAATGGCCTTGAGAAGGGTGACCCCCGTGAGGGGGGCGCCTCAGGAAAGCTCCTACAAGGCCCCTAGGCCTGGCTGAGGGATGCTGTGGGGTGATCCTGAGGCGAAGGGCAGGGGTCAGAGGTCATGGGAGGGGCTCCTACAAGGCCCCTACGCCTGGCTGGGGGATGCTGGGGGTGATCCTGAGGTGAAGGGCAGGGGTCAGAGGTCATGGGAGGGGTCAGAGGCCTGGTGGCTTCAGCCACGGTGGGGACCGGGGGCTCCTTGAAGGGGCAGAGATCTAAAGAGATCCTTTACGGCAGTGGCTCCCCAACCGTGGGCCTCCAGGTCTTCTTGGACTACAACACCCAGAAGCCTTCACCGCCACCTCTGCTGGCCAGGATTTCTGGGAGTTGAAGTCCAAGAACATCTGGAGGCCCAGGAAAGGCGTGGGGAGCTTGGGATGGTTCCCATTTTCATTTGAATTATCCCTGCTCCTGTACTGCCTCTCCTCCAGTGGATCCGAAGGCCCTGGATCCCAACCTTTGTGTCCCCCAGATGTTCTCGGACTCCAACTCCCATAAGCCCTGGCCAGCAGCGCTGGTGGTGAAGGCTTCTGGGAATTGCAGTCCCAAAACATCTGGGCTCGAAGGGCTCTGGAGGGCGCTCCCTGCTCTCCTTCGCCCCACGGAACATCTGGGGAGCCGCGGCTCTAAGGGCTCCCGGAGGGCGCTCCCTGCTCTCCTTCGCCCCAAGTTACCCCCTCATGACAACGACAGCCCTCTGAGGTAGGCCACTCCGAGAGTGTGGTGTCTGGCCCAAGGTCGCCCCCTGAGTTTCATGCTGTGGGTGAGGACTCGAACCCGGGTCGAGAGGGTTTTTGAGTCCACCACGGGGAACAGATGTGATATTTCGGGTCAGAAAGGTTGACACAAGTTCTTTTGAGCTGAGATCGCAGGAAGAGGTCATCGTGGAACACCTAAAAAAGGTGGGTAGGGGTGAAAATGAGAGAAGCAGCAAGAAGCGTTAATAATACCCTTAAAGATTAGAGGCAGCCTGTTTAAGAAATCAGAGACGACGGTTAAACGATGCTGGTGCAGAAAATCGGCAGCAACTTCATCAGCCTAAGAACCTCAGATTTTTCTTGACCTTGGTTTAATTTTTCTTCCCCAAATTCTTAACTAGGAGATACATTTAGCTGCCAAAGATGGAATATTTGACTCTTACTGCTGCTGTAGCTGGCTTAGCAGCCGCCCACGTCTCCGGCTGCTTGTGGCAGGCAAGGGCGTGTGTTCCCCCCATCTTCCCAGCCTTGCAAATTAATAAGACTATTTATGGGCTGATTATTGTGGTTGCCCACTGCGGTGTAGTGATGAACTTGGACTCAGGGGATTGGGTTCGGATCCCCTCCTCGGGCGTGGAAATCCAGTGAGGGGTGTCGCTAGTAAAGCTACTCCTTAAATATCTCACTTTGAAAGCGAAGTCAGCTCTGGAAGTCAGTTCTGACGTGATGGCGTGTAACATCCGTGCAACTGTTGTGGACGGAGATACAGCTTTTTTCTGACTGGTGCTGCAGCCGACGTCTTGTGTTTGAATTCTCCCATATGATAGGGATAAGGAGCCTTTAGCCATCCAGACGTCTGGGGCTTCCAGTCCACAGAAACCCCAGGCAACATAACTTGCAGCAAAGGACTGGGTTTGGAACATCGATGGTTCACCCCACTATAATAGGTGCTCTCCGAAGGGGTTGCTAAATATTACACAGTGATTAAAGTGAGTTCGATTTAGACCTGAACAGTTTCTTGGATGGGAAACCTGCGATAACCTCCTTTCAAAGAACCATCAAATAATGGAGTTGGAAGGGGCCTGTGTGTATCCAGACTCTGTAACTGGTAAGATGTCTAGTGCCTTCTTTTTCTGTAGGAGAACATGCGTTGAACCTTATCCAACTATAACTGCCTACTAATTCCTACCGCTAGTACTGTATGTCTTCAGTTGCATCAGTTTCCAAGAATCGTAATTGAGTTGGAAGGGGCCTTCTAAGGCCATCAAGTCCAAACCCCCCCCCTGCTCAAGGCAAGAATCTCAAATCAAAGCAGATCTCACAGATGGTTGTCCAATTTTTCTCTTGAAGGCCTCCAGCATTGGAGCGCTCACCATTATGGGTCCCATTGACAAACTGCTCTAACAGTGAAGAAGTTTTTCCCGATATTCAGCCTAAATCTGGCTTCCTGTTGCTTGAGTCCGTTATTATACGCCCTGCACTCTGGGATGATTGAGAACAGCGTCCATTATTATATGCCCTGCACTCTGGGATGATTGAGAACAGATCCTGCCCCCTCCTCTGTACGATTACATTTCAGTTAGTTGAAAAGCGCTATCATAGCAAAGTAGGATGTAATAAATGTTTTTTAAAAATGAATGTTCCTTCAACATTTTCCTTGCCCCACCCTGCATACAGGATTTGGGGGGGTCATTCTGCATCTAGAAAACCAACCCAGAAACTTTATTTCTGATAATACTGGGGAACCTTGGTATGTGTGAAATGTAAACTGAAGCATCCCAGGGAGTAGGAGAGTGATTTGTGTCTTGGTAATATTTTAGGCATAAACCCTATTCTGGATTATGACATTGGTCTCGTGTCATGGGGCTCTCTCGTGCGTCATTGTAAGGA